CGGCAGTCCCCTATTTCCCAAATTTCACCCATTAGCAAGCTTTCATTTCTTCAGTTTGGTCAAGAAATGATCACATATGACCATTTTTGGGTTTCTTAATGCAAATGGATTGTGCTAAATTGTGGAATGTTGGGATGGGTAGAGACAATGAAGGCCTCACCCTCATAGAGGTGAAAGGCTAAAAATAGCAGCCATGCACACTGAGGTGTGTGCAGGTGTCTTTACTTGTAAACTATCTGCCTAGATTAAACTTTCATATAGGAATACAGTTTACAAATACAGCTTGAAGATTTTTGAGCACTAATAGAGGATTGCAAATTAAAAGTGGGTTAAGAAATTGAGGGATAGTGCATTGTTAGGCTGGAGACAAATTCAGAAAAACATTCCTGCCACAGATTCAGAAACACATAAGTGTTTTTTTCCTTCTCTCCAGGGGAAGGGTTGGATAAATTAAATTATAAAAAAAATTAAATGTATCATGTGTCTTCTAAACTTTGAACTTATATTCCTAAGAGAAAAATACTTGGTGGGCATCATTAAATATTAATCATTAGAGATCAGTTTAGCAAAGAGATTTACTCAGGTTGGAACAGCTTTTAAGAAACCAGTTACAATGTGGGTTATGAAAAAGAAATGGAAGAAACCCAGGGAAAATATTAGAAAATGTGAGTCTCTTCACCCAGTGGAATTTTTGCAGGAAATTCTGGCTAACTAGCTTGTTGAGACTTAAGACAGCAATAAAAAAAGGTCCTTGTGCTTCGGACATAAGAATTGGTGAAAAGCAAAAGCTAGGATTACTAAAATTGCAAAGAATCTTCCTTTATAACCAATATTTCCTTTTTAGTATTTCATTGAAAGATAGGAATTAGAAAGAAACATTCATTTTATGGTCACCTTGTAAAATTTATTTATATAGAAATTCTACAAATTAATTATCAATATATAATTGGAGGACATGAAGGTGCTTGTTCATATTATGTTGATTGTTCAAAGGGTTTGTGAAACATTTGTTCAAAGGTTCATTTCATTAGTTATATTTCAAATAATATGGGGGATTCTGACAATTTGAAGACTTATAAAATGTTGGAACATAAAGATATATCAGAGATAAGCCTCCTCATATTCTATGTATGAAAAAAAGAAACATGAATGGTTGAATAAGTCAACAATTTTAATGGGAAGGGATAACAGTCCTAAATTGTAAGTACCTATTAACAGAGCACTAAAATATATGAAGCAAAAAGTGATAGAAGTATTGGGAAAAAAATAGGCAAATTCATAGTTTTAGTTGGAGGTTTCAGCATTCCTGTCTCAGTAATCAGTAAAACAGTAGGCAGAAAATCAATAAAGATAGAGAAGATTTTGAACAACACTATCAGCCAAATAGACCTAACTAACATTTATAGAATATTCCACCCAACAACAGCTGATTACCTGTAATTTTCAAGTGCACATCTAACAGTCTCCAAAACTGTATTCTGGTTAATAAGTCTCAGTGAATTTAAGATGATTAAAAGTAAACAAAGTGTGTCATATAAGCACAATGTAGTGAAACTGGAAATCAGTAACAGAAAGATATCTGTTAATATATCTTATTAAGAAATTAGAAATTAAACAACATACATCTAAATAACCCATGGGTGCACTAAGGTAGAAATCAAAGGATACTTAGAAAATATTTCAGCTCTATAAAAATAAAAACAATTTTCGATTGTGGAATTCAGCTAAAACAGTGTTTTAAGGGGAAATTTATAACATATTAATAATATTAACAGTGTGTATTAGAATGTACACATTTATAACATTAAATGCGTATATTACAAAAGAAGAGTCTTAAATCGGTAATACGTTTCCACCTTAAGGAACTAGAAAATGAATAACAAATGTAAGTTAAGTAAAAGAAAGGGAATAATAAAGATAAGAACAGAGAGAAATGAAACAGAAGGCAGAATAATAGGGGAGGAAGAAGAATTGTTATCATTATCATTAATATTTTAAGAGCAAATTGTAGAACAATCTGTGTGTTGTGATTCTATTTGTATTTCAGGAAAAAAGGGAAATGATGCAAATTGCCAGTATTAGGAATGAGAGAGGGCTATTACTAGAACACCCATTGAAAGGATAATTAGGAAATACCAGGAAAAACTCTGTCAATAAATTTGACAACTGAGATGAAACGGATATAAATCAAAAGCCTTAAAATGTCACCTCATAATTCTACTTCTAGGAATCTATGTTAAATTAGCAAGTTGAAAAAAAAGGTACCAATCTTAAATTTCTGACAGTAACACATAAACTAAGGTATAACCATACTGATGCTCATGGTGATGGTAAATTCCAGTATATATAACATGACATAGAAAAAGAAACACAATTGTCAGTAAATGGTGATCTCAATATGCAAAGATATTTATAAATAAGAGCTGGAAAACATAGACCCTTAAGTTAAGCTAATAGGTTTGTTTTTCATTTGTTGGATTATTTTCTTCTTAATTTCTTCTGTATTTTCCATATTTGCAAAGAATGAAATATGTCGGTGCCATATTTTAACTCCCATTTGCCAAGAAGCTGGTTTTATGGGTAAAAATATAAATTGTTCTTTTCCTGTAAACAAAAAAGATACCACCTAAGCTTTGATGCCAGTTGATTTTGTTTTAAAAATGTAAAACCATGCCTTCTGGGAGGAATGAAATCAGATCTGAGTGACCTAGTGCACTTCGTCCTTCCTGGGGTAGGCGCATTCTGAAGCTGTCCTTGCACCATCTGTTTCATAGAGCGAGACACCCAGACCTCCTCTCCACACCAGTCCCCTCATTGCCTTTCTCAGTCCAGGCGTCAATGGATGAAATGTGAGTGTATTTGCTCTCCCTTAGTTTTTCTTTTCTTTTCTGCCCATAGCCATCAAAGCATCTTTTAGCAGGAAACCATTTATTAAGCTTTTCCCTTTTATGCTTCATATAGACACCTTGATCAAATTAGAGATTTCTAGCACTGATTGAAAACATAACTCTCTATTTGTGCATCTTTCAACTCCACCCAGGCCTTTAGTATTTCAACATCGAACCAAGTTAGCTAGTTCTGTTGGCCCTGGTCTGGTTGCGCCCTGACAGCTCATTTCCTTTCCAGAGAGCCTATAGTGAATGACTTCCTTTTTCTTACAGAATCCCATTATTAGTAAAAACTAGAAAACCTCAGGACCTTCATATTAAGTAGACCTAACCTCCCTTTTGGTACAGGGAGTCTAATGATCTTGAACCATCTGAGGTGTATGTCTACACTTTTAGCTCAGAATAAAGGGACCTTTTACAATTTTATGTGAACTTGTTCACTGGGGCCTTTCTTTTGCATTTGTATACATGCATGTGTGACAAAGAAATAAAATATAAACTTGGACCTTGGTGCAGAGAATGGCAACTAAACCACCAGATGATCATGGTGCATGAGGCCCTACTCTATGCACAGCCATGTTTTGAGGAACCTGGGCCACTGAGCCCACAGTCGTTTCATCCTCCTTAGAGCCTTTCAATTGGTCTCCCCACTTCAACGCTTGTGCCACTGCATTCTGTTCTCCACCCAGAGACCAGTCATCTTTGAGAAATATAAACCAAAGCCTCTTTTCCCTCCTTAAAAGCCTTGATTGCCTTCTGATTGTACTTGAGAAAAAAAGTCCCCAATCCAAATCCTACTTCTGGATCTCTCTGTGACCACTTCCAGGCTGTGTGCCCAAGCTGTGGGGACTTCCTTCAGTTCTTCAAACACACCAAACTCTCTCTCACTTCAGCACCTTATACAAGGCTGGAACAGCATCACCTGAGCACCATCTCCTGCTCCACCTTACCTCCCACTTTCCCATCCCTCCACCCGTAAGTTTTCTCCTGGCTGATTCATTGATTCATACTCGGCATTCAAATGTGGCTTTAAATGTCACTTCCCAGAGGGGCCTTCTCTGGACCTGAAATTTAAATTTAGTTCTTCTCATTATTATTTCATATACTTCTTATGGCACTGATCATAGGTTTTCATTGTATTGTGTTTTCTGTATTTTCAATGCTTTTCTCTCCTACAATCCTGATGGCTTCATGACCATATACCTCAGCATTTTGTTTGCTGGTGGACCAGTATATAGTAGGTGCCCAATTACATTATTGTTGCATGAATGAAAGAAAAAAGAAGTGTAGTAAATAATTAGAAAACATTGATGAGAAAAAAATTAGAATTTCACTATTAGACCATAGATTAAAGCATCTATTTTTAATTTATTTAATTAGCAAATTATTTGAAGTTATAATTCCTACTTCAGCTTAGGTTTGGAGAAAAGGACACATTCATGCAACCCTTGAGGAGAAGGAACTTTTCTGTGCTCATTTTTGTTTATGTATTAAATATTTATTGAATAAGAGGATTAGTTATAATCATTATGGAAGGTGGTCTAACTAAATGTATTTAAAAACATCACATTGTTTTTATTGACCTGGCATTTCTACCTAAGAATTTATGATAAGGAATAGTTCTAAATATGGAAAAGGTTATATATTTGAAGATATTTCTTACAGTGTTATTTACAGGAGTGAAACAGGGGAAAGCACCTAAGTGCCCAGTAAAGTAATAGCTTAGTAAACAGCATATATCCTCTAGCTAGTATATGAGTAACACATAAGCTAACAGGTAAGGTAATATAATGACTTCAGCAATCTTTACAATATTAATGTAAATAAATGAAGAATATAAAGTCTTACAACAACATTTACAAATCCTATCCACAGAAAAAAAAAGACTAGAAAGAAATGTCATGATGTTGTTATGGTATGGGTGATTTCCTTCCTTCTCTCTTTTCTTTAGCATGTACCTATTTTATTTCTCACAAGGGTTTTAACTATATCAAATCGTGGTATAACATAACTTCGGTATTGAGGTTCAATTTCACTTTCAGTACATTTCAATGGATCCTGATCCTTACGTTTTGTAATCATTGAACTAAACTGTTGTGCTCTCCTTTTTAGGATGACAGAATCTTCCCTGGAAGTCCCCACGCCCATGGGTTAGATCATTCATCCTTTTGGCAGGATCACAATTGCTTCCTGTCTAGTCCACGATTTTCACACTTGAATTGTAAGTAATGATGTCACTGTACTAGATTTTAAATAGATTTAAGAAAATGCAACTCATGGAAAGATTAAAATGTAAGGCAAGAACATGATAGTAATATTCATATTATAAGCTTGAAAAAATTGCCATTGTGAATCATACAAATAATGCCCCTCAGGTACATTTATAATATTACCCAAATAACTAGAAAAAAAAAAGAAAAAAATGGAATCCCTTCTTTTCAGAGCTTATACATCTCAGAAAAAATTAAAATGAATCACCCAAGGTAATAATCTTAACTAAGCAAATTTTTGTGTGGAGTTCACCAGTAACTGAATGAGTGGGTAAAGGAAGCTAAATGGTATTATGATAAAATTCAAATGATCAAAAAATGGAAAATCTTACCATGGAACTATTCAGACATATATAACCTTGTGCTAATAATAAGAATACTAGTACCATTACCCTCTAGATTTTGTTCTGTGAATATGCTGTAAATGTTGATCGCATGTCATCAGTGTCATAAGGTGTGAGTCTCGTGACCCAAGATACCATTTTCCAGGGTCCAACCCCTCCTCTTCTTTGCTGTATTTATTCTTCAAGTTTCAGCTTGTATGTGACTTCCTTAAAGAAACTTTTGGAACCTGTAGTTTTAAGTATGGTTTCTGTTATGAGTGCCCAAAATGCATTAAAATTTCCCTTACCTAGTCTCAGAATAATTATAGAGTTATTTGAGTGACTTTGTTTACCAGTTCTTCTCTTCACCAAGAGTGAACTCCATGATGACTGGAGTGGTGTCTGTTTTGTCCATGACTGTTTCCTCAGAATCCTATGTAGTACATAACACATAGCAAATGTTCAATTAATATAACATGAATGAGTATATGAGTTGTTTTATTTTAATTCTACTTGTATCCAAACCATTGGGGCTGAAATGTTATCCAATGGATTTTTATTTAGATAATACTTTACATCTTCAGTTTGCCATGGGCACAGAATTCATACATTAAATCTGACAACTCTGTCATTTAAAAAAATCTAACTTGCTGTAAAATAAAATGCCAAAATAAGCCACATCAAAGTAGGTCAAATCTAAAAGTGGTAATTCTCATTTTTGCTGATTGATATTCATAGATTTGTTGGATAAATATTATCAGTTTCTGTTAAATGGTTTGGTTTTTATTATATCATGATAATTTTATTCCAGAAGCTAAGCATTTTCTCTTTTCCTGTCCTAGCCATTTTACTAAGTGATTATATATATCTGCATAAACCCTCTGCTATTCTAATTTGGCAGTCATCCTTCAATACTGATCGTATCTCAAGTTGTTATAGAACCTCAGAATCTGATATGTACATAGGCCAAATCTTTTATTGTTCACATTAAGCAATGGAACAATTTCCTCAGATCTATTTGATATCTGTAAACATGGAGGAGGAGATTGGGGGCACAGCACCGTCACACCTCATAGCATCCCATCCACTAAGACATTCCAGCACACCATGAGGTGAGCACAGAGGTCATTGTTCTAGTGCTGTTCCATTTTGCCATTTTAACTTGCATAAGGCTCCCTAGAAACACAACTAAAAGCAAGACACTGGGGGGAAACATCAAGATTTTTAGAATTTTATTTCATATTATGACAGGCAGTGAAAAAAACTGTATTCGGCTGTCCACTCAGTAGCATTTCATGACCAGCTGTAGTCATTTCTCTGAGATATATTCTGCACAAGAAGCCATAGGTTTCTATATAAATACAATGGCTCAGAAGAAAATTAAGTTAAGTAAGAATATGGAAAAATATTGAGGACATACCTTAGATAAGAAAGTACTTACTGTAGGCTGTATTGTAAAATCTTAAAATTTTTGCTTAAAGTAAAACTGCATTTAATTTATTGATAAATTATTTAGTTAGTTATTCATAACCTATATTTTACTATTCTTCTTTTTGACAAAGTTTTTAATGGCTTTCCTTCCACAACTATCTCCATGCTTTTTAGGATACTTTTAGACATTTAATCATAAGTACCTAATTGTTAATAATTTTAAGTGACTGAATAAAATATATCTAGAAGCTGTATTTATTACAAGCATATATTATTTGCTTTTCTGGTGAACCTTGAATTTTCTGTATGTTTTTCATAATGTAGTGTTTTAGGAGAGGATTAGGATCACTCTCAATACTTATCCATTTTTGTAGCACAGATATTTTCAGCTTAGTTATAGAAACTCGCCTGTGATTTTTCTTTAATCTTTAATCCTCTAAAATTAAACAGGAGAAATATCAAGACCAACAAAAAGAAAAGTGAGCCTACAGTAAACTGATAGCATGGAGAACAGGAGATGTCTTTTAAGATACCATTAATGCCCTCAGAGATATAAGAGAAAATGTAACATCTGTTAAAAATAAGAGCAAGATGCTGTAAAAAAAGGAACACTGGATAAGAGATCTCAAAATTTTACAATGTGATAAAAAGGAACGTTGGAAAACAAAGCTGAAGAAACAAAAATAAAGAAAGTAGAAGAAAAAGAAGAATGGGACAATAGGGAAAGAAAAGATATTTTGAAAATCAGTTCAAGAGGCTCAATATCTGATTAGTGAGAGAACAAAAGCAGAACGGAGGCCAGAAGTAGGCAGATGGAAAGGGCCCAGCCAACAAGTCCCTGCTGCACATCTGTCATCCTGAGACTTTTCTTGACCTTCTTCCTATGTTGATGCCCATGTTTCTCAGATACCACACCTTTCTATGTGTGTTTCAGTGCCTTCTTTTGTGGGAGTACATCAAAGAAAGGGAGGTAAATGTTTTCAGCCTTTTGTATTTCTGAAAATGGATTTCCTCCACTCACACTTGACTGAGACTTTGGCTAGGTATAAAATTCTAGGTTGAAAATGACTTTCTTCTGGAGTCACTGCATTTATCTTCCAAAATCCAATATTGCCAGAAAACCTTATGTCTTTTTGTATTAACTTCCACTCCTTTGAAGTGAACTCCACCAGCCCTACCCCCCAGTCCCTATCCCTGGAAATAGTTAGGACCTTCTCTTTAACCCCAGTGAGTTTTGTGATGACATGCCTCCCTGTGGGTCTGGTTTTCTTTGGTTTTCTAGCTATTTGCTGAGTGGGCCCTTTTAATCTAGATACCCATGTTCTTCAGTTCTCTCATACTAAAGGAAGAAAGGAAAGATTCCATCAGGAAAATCTTTAGGAAATAAACAAAACATGGATAAGTCATTTGATATAGTTGAGCACTTAGAAAAAGACTCCTAACAGATATGCAACAGATTTAATTGAGCTATTAGAAATAATTATGGATGATCATAGGGAAAGAACAAATAAAATACAAAAACAAAAATAAAAGCATGGGTCAATTAAATTCCAGGAGAAAAATGAGCAAGAAAAGAAACATTGTCATATATGTATTAGGTTTATGTGAGCCATATTTACATAGTCATAATAATACAAATACTACTGATATAACTAGAAGTTCAGATATAACTATATATAGGGAGAATGGGGTGAGGAGAAGTGACTGGCATGGATAAGTCTAAAAGTGATAAATCATAAAATAGCAATATTAGCTACTTTTTCTTATAGAAATTGAAGTAAATACAGAAAGCTGAAAGAATTGATTGTATTGACTCTGGGGAGTGGGATTGTGGGATTGGGAGGGTCAGGGCAAGAAACTGTGATCCCTCTATGTAGGCCTTTGGTACTGTTGGTACTTTGGCTAATAAGGAATCTAAAAATAAAATGCTATGACAAAAACCCCAGCTTTATGTCTGACTAGCAAGTGTTCAATTTTCTTGTTAACTTCTGAATGGAACATGAAAGTTGGGGAATTTAGAGCAGTTCAGACCTGCATGGGGGCATGAGGGGTAAGTAACTCTAGATGCTGAGGCAGACATGAGTTCACGAGCCCATAGAGCAGGCTCCGTCTTCCTCAGGTTGGGCTTTGTCCTGGAGGAGGCCCTTTGTCTATGCTGTAGATGCTAAGGCATTCATTCTGCTGACTTAGGTGCCCTGTCAAACTGTGACCAGACTAGAGTGTAGAATCCCTGACCATGGAAAAAACAAAGGAAATGGGAAAATACTGCATAATTTGTGGTCTCTGAAATGATTCAGCATTAATGAAAGTTTGTTTTGAGTAGTAATTTATGTCAGCTTTGTGTAGTTCAGGTCAGTTCAAGAAAAGGTAGATTCCTTCTGCCAAGAAGAAGGGAAGAAATGTATAAATTGTAAGTTTATATTACCATTGGAAGTAGGAACACAGAAATCCATTATTTAGAGCCATGATTACTACCGAATTTATCCTGGCTGGCTAGGAGTTATGGCCGTGATTCAGGACACTCTTTTAGAGAACTTGGATTCCATTACCTTCAGCCTGTAGACAGTGGGGGCTTAGTAAGAGAGACTCATAATGCCAGCTTTTGAAACTGTCATTTTTACTTTTTATAAGTAGTGACTGACCACTAGTCTCCATGTATAGCTTCTTTTAGGCTAAAGGAACACAACTCCAGGACAGGGCCTTCCCTCCTGGGGCCCCAAACAGACTGGATTTGAGTGAGATCTGTAGTGATCTGATGCCTTCTCAAAGTCTTGTGTCCTTTGAGATTAAAATGCCTAATGTTTGTGGAGTTGGTATCTCTAAGCTAAATTTAAAAAATAAATGCAGATTGCAAAGGTTCTGTAATTCTGAATCTGTTATAAATAATGTTTGTTAAAATCAGTAAATAAATAATCCCCCAAAGAAAAAACTATGGATTTTCATGGGAAGAAAATGTTATCTAAGGATTATTATAGGATTTGGAAGTGAATCTTAAATATTAATTTAACTTGATATTGTTAGAAAAATCTTACACATTAAATTAACTTGATATTCTTAGAAAAGCAAACCAATGAAAGTCACTAAAAAGAACTTTATTTCGCTTCCTCAACACAGTTTACATTACTATAAAAAGAAAAGTTAGACTTCTCAATTTGTGTTTTGAGGTGCCTTTAGTGGGAGTTTATGTTCCTCAGATGAAAAATAACTTATCCACAGCAAGAATAGCAGTCTTTTCACTTGCACTTCAGGATGCACCTGGCTAACTGTGAATTGGCATTTCATATGTAGTTTATCCTCAAACATATAGAATAAAATGCCAAAGATTTATGGCAATAACAATGTTGGGGTACTGATAAGGTAAAAATAAAATTGTTTCCTGTCCATTAAAACATTTATTCCAGAAAACAATTCTCCATGCTAATGATTTTTTTTTTTTTTTGGTGACTATCTTTTCACTGTCCAATTAGGTACCAGAAATTTTTTAATAAATGAGTTCTGGTTATTATGATTTGACAGTATACACTCCAGATGCTTTCTAGAAAAGAGCTAGAAAATCCCCAATTGACTATCTCTTAAAAATCCCTAAGTATATTCACTTGTTCAAGAGTATTTATTAAGAGGCAGTGCATGAGACTCTGGCACTAAGGGGTACAGTAGTGAACAAGACAGGAAAGAACCTGTTCCATGTAACCTGTATCATCTCATGGAAGAAACAGGTAGTAAGCAAGTAAACAGATGATTTAAAATGGCGATTGAGGCTATGAAGGTGAAATGACAGAGGGTACCTGGAAAAACACTACTTTAAGTTAACAATCAGGACGTGCCTTTCTGAAGAGGTAACAGTTGAGCTAAAACTTGAATGGCAAGAAGAACCAGCTGAGTTAAAATTGGGGGGCAAGAGTATTCCTAACAGAAGGAGCAGTAGATGCAAAGCTCCCAGAGAAGAAAGGGACATGGTCCTCTAGAGAAATGGAGCACTGAGTGGGAGAGAGAGAGGCAGTGAAGGAGAGAAGGAGTGGGGTAGAGGGAGACGGGGAGGAGAGTGTGTGAAGTGGGGAGGAGGGCAGAGGAGGGGAAAAGAGACAGTGACTGAGTGAGGAGGTAGGAGAGAGAGAGAAAGTGGTGGGCTTTGAGGTCCAGTGGAGCCTTTTCAGCTACAGTCAAGATGTCTGGATTTGTAAACTCGCTGGGAGGCCATGGGAGGTGAGGGGACTATGTAGCAGAGTGACATAGTCTCATTGGCCTTTTAGAAAGAGAATTCTGGTTGTGGTGTGGAGAAAGGGGCAAGGTGGAAACAGAAAGAGAAAAAATGGTGCTTGGGCTGGGGTGATGGCGTTGGAGATGGTGTGAAGGACTCAGGTGAATTTAGGAGGTAGATCGGAATTCCCTCTTAGATTGGACGGGTGGAGCGGGCAGGACAAAGGAAGCGGGGAATGAAGGTTTGATAAACGGGGGGGTGGTGAGTGTATCATTTTCTAAGATGGAGAAGAGTAAGGAATGGGCAGGCATCAGAGAGTAGAAATCACATGGGGAGAGTTCATGAATACTTGGATATAGGCATCTGGAGTTCACAAGAGAGGTAAGAGGTTAGTAGAAATGAGCAAACCTGGATTCCGGATGTAGTTTCAGTTTCTTCTTATGTAACATAGAGGATTCTGTAAAAAGGCCCTTAAAGGTCTTGCTCCAAAATTCTGCTTGGCCTTTCCATCATTATATACTGACCAAACATACATCTTCCACTCTCACATACTCTTCAAATCCCCCATCCTAATTTAAATCCCATGAATATGTGTTCCTGAAAATACAGTAGGCTGATTATGTTTACCCCAACACAGAAGGTCTGCTAGCCCATGTAAAGTCTGCAGAAAACTAGATCAAATAAAATGATTACTTACAATTTTGTCAGCCCAGGGATCATATTCATTCAGGTTTATTTTTGTCTTTTCTCTTGCCTTGCCAGCGTTTACCAAAAGAACAGTTGCCCCAGATTCACCTTCAATCAAGGAAGATGCCACAGATATACCAGGGAATGGAACAAGCCCACAATCCAAAAAGGAGGAATGCAAAAACAAAAAAAGCAAAATGTAATTTGTTGCTTTGCCTCTTTTACAAATAATAGCATACATATCCTTCCGGCAGCTTGGCCCGGATTATCTTTCAGACCAATCTGCAGCCTCTCCTCCTCGGCATTGCCAAACCTGAGTAAAGTAACAATGTAGGTGGTCTTTGTGAATGATAAGTTAAACCAGTCCAGGTAATATCAGCTTGTGAATGATGTACAATTAACTTATTGGCAACTTATATGAGCAGAGCAAGAGAGATGTTTTTTCACTTTTCATCTTCCTTTTTCAGGTGTGGTCAGTCACATTTTTCCAGCCAAAATTTGGATTTATAATTGAGATCTTTCAAAAATTAGAGGCTGAAATAGGAGGCGAATGAGTTCCCCTTGAGGCAGACATTGCCAGCACTTTAGATTTATGGAGCATTTTATACACAATTGATTTTTTTAAAATGCTTTCTCCCTACTAAATTATCATGTGTTGTAACATGTCATGGAGATATGCATATATAATATTAGACAGTCCATTTTATAAATGCTCAGCATTGTTATGTTACATCTATCATCCCAGCCGTCTATTACTACATGCAGTATCTTAAAATTGTTTCCAACCATCCATTTTTAATAGCAATAAAGAATTTACAAATGTTATCTGAATTGTAGAATATACTATAAAGAACTCATAGCCCAATTTATTTATTTGTGTTTTTGTGGCCAAATATCCCACTGTGATCACTTCCGTCCCACCTGGCCCATCTTTTGTTCACCTGACCACAATCACAGAATCAGACGTCTGTGTCCATGAGACTGACTCTCTAAGAGTTCTCATATAATTTGGTACCACCTATCAACTTTCAACATCTCAGCCTTTCTCAACATCAAAGTGTTTTTAAGAACTTATCCTCTTTACATGCTGATCTACCAGTGGAGAAAGATTTCTATTAAATGCTAAATAATATCAAACATCCAGGAAATGAACCCCACTGTGTCATGATGGAAAAATTCTGCAGATTCAAGGACAATAAAGCAATACCTTTGTAATGTGCATTACACTTTGTGTTTCTTAAAGTATACTTGCTTGTTAATATTCTCATATTTCATAAAGATGCTTCTGTTTCCACTTAAGATATGCTCTCTTATCTTACTGTATTTGAGTGTGCAGAAGAAACGGCAATCTCTTTCCATGAACTTGAATGCAGCAGTTACTAGAGAAGACAGAAGTTTTATATCAAAAAGTGACATACTACAGTCTACATACCCTCTGAGAGTACAGCCATGCATTTTATCATTTATTCATTCCCAAAACTACCCAGTGAGTTCCTACTATAAGCCAGTCATTGTGCTTAGAAGAAAAAAAGACATAGCAGCAGGTGTGCATGTCCCAGAGTTGGTTTGGCATTAGGAATTACATGAAAAAGGAGTGATGTGTTCAGGCTAGCTGGGGAAATTCTGGATTAGACAACATTAAACAGGTGTTGTTTTGTTTTGTCTAACCTCAGGATTTCAAGCTGTTAAGGTGCTAATGAGCCTGAGTTTTTAGTGGGAGTAGCCCTTTCTGAAGGAGTGGCTCACATTCCTGTGGTTCCATATAACCTATATCATTCTATAGTAATATTTGGGATATAGAGAAATTATTCAGTATTCTCACTGATATTTGACTGATACTGTAATAGTTTATATCTTTGGACCTAAGTGAATAAGTGGGAAGAAAATTAACAGGTTTTATTTAAATCCTAGGGATAAAGATTAAATAGCTTTTCCCATACTGTGTTAGATGGAACTTCATGCAGTCCATTCTTTCTAATAGGAACTGATCTATACCATTATTAGCTCATCTGTGGTCCTTTAAAAAAAAATTGCATCAGGCCAATTAGACCTGAAAGTTGAAGGTAGCTCAGATTATTTACTTGGCAAATCCTGAAAACATATTAGCTGACGATTTTATCATAGAATGGAGAGGGATCTTATGAAAGACCTTTTTTAATCTGGAAAAAAAAAGCTATTCTATCATATTATTAAAGGCCCTGTGCTCCTGTTGGATGATTAAAGGTGTTTGACTCTAAATATGGAACACACAAGAAATTCAAAGTCAAAGTCAACTTTTTCTGAGCAACAGTTTTGTCAAAATTCCTTGGCCGTCTGTGTATAAGGAATTAAATCCAAGGACCTGTCTCTTCTGAGGATTTTTCCTATCTCTTGCAGTCACCATAACTTGAGTTGGAAATCAAAAGAAATGCTGAGGAAACACTAGTAGCTTGATTTGTCCATTTCAAAGCCAGCACCTGTTTTTCCTTTACTCTCCCCTTGGGCAGGATACCGTGTGAGAGACCCATTTGAGTTGCGGCCGGACAGCCATATTGCTCGCAGCGCCGGGACACTGAAAGGGATGAACCTTACTCTTGCACTGAGCCTGGTCCAAGACTTAATTTGAAGATTGACCTTTTTGGTTTAATAATTTGGATTCTTCTGGCCATCATTCACCTTAAATACACTGAACTTCCATTGAAGTTACTGAAGGCCACAGATGGGAGAAACACAGCTGGGAGAAATCTGGCTTAATGTTTTTCCCATTGGCTAAGGTCATTATTCTTTCCTTGACTAGTGTCTGATTTAGGTTGGAAAGCAGTTCGTTATATAACATATTATGCATCCAGTTTCCCAGAATCACCAACATTTCTTATTGTTTCAGTTCACATATTTGTACTAATAAGGAGATAAAATCGGTAGCTTAGCAAAATAGTGCACATAAAACCTTTAAATTTAAAGCATCTACCTACTTAGCTAAGAAAACAAGCCTATTTTTCTTCATTTTTCTCTCTTCAATTATGGTAAATGCGTTTTCCATGTTGAGGCTTAATGGTGTAAAGTGTAGACTCACAGTGTCACATTTCTCTAATATGTATTGAATCTTATACTTAAATAACAAATACTGTTTTAAATGGGACCAAATCCTTACATATAAGTAGATGGTATATTAACTAACCCTTTTTTGGGAAGCAGTAAATATCTCAAATTGTTTTACTCAAGATTTGTACTGTAAATACAACTAGACATCATATGGTAGCCAAAAGTGTGAATGATCATTCAGTAAGTCATTTTTTTCCAAGATATTTTATTTCTTCCTCAAACTGTCCCAGTATTTTCTCTCAATTAAAAAAAAAGTTTGTGATTTTCATGGCCTTCAAATGAGGAAGCTGCCCTCACGAAAGCATCTGGTTTTCTTGGATCCATGAACCTTAAGCTGGAAAGTAAATTTGGGTTAAGTTTGTACATAAAGGCATTTCACACACTGAAGCATGATATAAAAATAGTTACATCTTTCAACTCTTAAGTTCTCAAATGTTTAGCAATAAAAATATATCAGCTTATCCCTATTTGAGAAAATAAATTTAAACCATGAAAGATTCCATTTAGTTTCATTTCCGTACAAAACATGACACATCTAATTTAAGGGTAGGAGAAATGCTTACATCTAGAAGCAGAATTTTAGATTCCAAGCCCCCAGACGAATTTCAGAGAAGTCTCCCTTGCTTTTGATTAGTAGTAAAGTAAACCAATCTGTTCTGCTCTGGTGGAAGCAGCCCCACCTTCGAGTTCTAACCTTCTCTGACCCCAGCTTAGCCTCCCCTGCTCTGTCTATGCCTGTGCCCACATCCTACCTAAATCCAAATCCAACCTGAGTCACTAAGCATTCGACCAAGTCAGCCCCTACATATGTTGACGTCTATAACCTGTAACAAAGGGGCAGACTCTCTTGGGTTTGTAGCGCCTGCATATCTTCCAGTGCCAGCCACTTGAAAAAGGATTCAAGTGTCATGTGTCTTTGACCTAAGAATGCATCTATGGCTTGATATGTTCCATAAGACATCTTTGCACCTCTGGCATCGTACAAAGCCGGGTGAGAATTGTGGAAGTGAACTTACCACCTTGCTCTCTGCAGGAATGTAATGGATTCCCAAACGCAGTGGCATGTCAGTTCCCTTCCAGGAGGAGAGTCAAAACAATGTCCAACCTGATGACTTCAAATTGTAGAAAACCTTCCTCCTTTGAGCCTATAGGCAGGAACGTGAAAAAAAAAAAGCTACTATAGACAAAACTATCACCTGTAATTCTAATAATAACATGCTATGTTTTAAGTTGAAGTTGTACATTTGCGATTCCCTAGAATGAACGCCCTGTTTTCCTCATACTGGCAGATGCTGGATGTTCATGGCCTGGCTATCTTATATCATCTCTTCATAGATCCCCACAGTGTGACGGTCTCTTATTTTTTTTATTTGGTAAAATATTTTGACTGGCATTATTTAAATAAAAATAAAAGTTACAATTTATCCTTAAATATTGGAGCTCTGTGTCAGCTGTATACTTCACTGGAAATAAAAGATCAGAATACTGGCTTGAAACAATATTTTTTTTTAAAGCAAAATTAGTGGATATTAAACTACCAATAGTTTAGATGTTACAATTTAAACTTAAGAAAATATCTCATTCAGAGGGAAAGGAGCATACTATTATATGCTCATTAGTTAGTCACTAATTGATAGTCTCCTTTAAATTCTGATTTAGTCTTTCCTAAAAATCAAACTTGTTTTTCTTAAAAAATGATGTCTAATTTTTATAGTATCGGGTTTTCCATCAAATTACAATTTCCTTTTGTTTTTTCATATAAATTCTTCAATTTTACAGTCAGGTGTATTTTTGAATCATTTGAGACCATCAAGAGTTCAAATGGCTTTTAAAAGCCCAAAACACTTGGCCAGCCATGTGAAAACTTGTACTTTGAGCTAGTGCATCTCTTTTTTCTTGAAATAACTGTATTTCAATTGGAAATATTTCCTTCTTCCAAGTGCCTCTCTCTGGTTTCCATAGTCATTTCCTCAATGATTTTTGGAAGCAGCATGAAGTCCTTTATTTGGACCAGCCTGTGCCTGGAGTCCTGGTTCACTTGTCCTGTGCATACATTCCACGATATCAGGATCATGGCAAAGCCTAAAGAGTTAGATTAATAAATGACACACTTACGTGTTTTTTCTAATGATGTGGGCTGGTGCAAAGGGTTTCTCTTGGTAAAACAAGACTTTTCTCTTCATCCATGTGTGATGATGCACAGCTATTTTTTTACTGCAGTATTTATATATGCACTTCATATATCAGGAGAACATTTTTATATCATCTTTTACCTTAAAGCCAAAGAGCAGTTCCCAAAAATGTGTGTCAGATTACACATTGGATTTGAAATCTTAATTTCTAGTATATCCCCTTTAAAATTTTTTTCTTCTCAGCTCTTGAAGCCAGCAATTATCAGATCCTCCTGCATAACTCTCATTCAGTGTTATCCCTAGGGTGGTAGTAATGCTAGTTTAGGTTTTGTTTGTCGATTACTGCTGAGCACTTAGCTGGATAAAGGAATGAGCGATGGCAGGCGTTCTGTAAAATGATATGAACACAGAGGAAGCTGGGTTGCCTTCAACAACACACATTTTAAAACTGTTTACTTGAAAGAAAACACTGCGGTAGCACTGCATCCTTTATCTGCTGTGAGGTCCTGGAAAGCAGCATTGCGACAAGCCCTGCTGAACTTGTGCACTGTAAAGTCATATTTCTGATGCGAGTTGCACTAGTCCTTAATGTTCTTTATGGACCACTTGCTGGCAGTTTGGATATGGATGGAAAGTGGCCTCCTTTCAGACACTTTTTAGTCTGAATGCCCTGTGCTTGTCTGTCATTTGGGGTTTTCATTTTATTTATGCCATCATTAAGCCCACCGTGAGTGAGGATAGAGGCTTGCTTTAAGGCTTAGCATTTTTAAAGTGTCTCATCATACTGAATCTCAAGCTGTCGGTTACCAGAAGTGAAGCAGCCATGGCAGCAAAGCCACTTAACATGGCGGCTTGGGGAAGTTGGGCAGTTAAAAGATATTTGGAGAAACTTAGAGAATGTTGCTTTTTTTTTTTTCTGAGCTGAATAAAATAGATGCATCAGTTCTAATGAGGCACTTCCTGCCCAGAGTCACTGGCAGAGCAGCCTCCTCCCAACAGCTGCAAGC